CAGTTTGAATTTCCTCATATAAACCGAAGTGGAACAAAACTGTTATAAATTATAAACCGAACCGATATGAATTTCTTCAAATATAAACCCGAAATGCAACAAAACCTTTATAAAATATATGGACCATACCCAGAACCGCTATACTTAACGGTTGGAAGTCCCCAAATTTTATGGGAATTTCTCAAAAAAATAAATCTTGGATTATCATATGAACTAATTAAGAAGAGATTAGTCAACTTATTTTGAAATAAATTTAATAATTTTTTTTGAAAAAAAGCATTTATTTAAAAGATAAAACCGAAAATACTCGCTCAGTCGGCTCACTTAGTCGACTCGCCGGGTAGGCTCAATTTTATTTAATTTATATACGGCCCGGCCCGGGTATTTTAAAAAAGATAAAAATTTAGTAAAATTTAAATTATTTTTATATATAAAAACATAAATATAAAAAATGATGTATTATATAATATTGTAACTTATAATGTTAAACTTATTACTTTTATATATAACAATTTTTTTTTAAAAAAATGGTTGCTAGTAATTGTAAGTCGTTACTTATATAAAAAAGAATGTAATTAAGTTATATTTCTAAAAGTAACTTTTAACAATATAAAAAAAATATAACAACAATATATATATATAAAAAAAACATGCTTAACCCTTTAATACTCCTGTGGGGTATAATGAAACCCCAGGCTTGCTAGAATTGATATTACACATAAAAACAATATGTTATTATGATCTAGAATCTTCAGTCATCAAATATATCTTTGAATCTAAACTCAAAATATCATATTTGGTTGATAGCTTTCAAGATATAAGCATTTTGTGACTGGTTGGGGTTCTATGAGACTTCGCCAGATTAAATACGTAATTGTATATTATAATTATAACATTTTTCAATATTTTTATTTTTTTTATCAATTTATTATGATTTTTCTCAGATTTATGAAAGTAAAGGAAGGAAGAAAGAAAGAAAAAGAAAGAAATTTTTTTTCTTGAGGTTGAATATTAAAAAAAAAATTGCCAAATTTACACCCTGGAGCTTATACCTTTGCACAACTAACATTTTTATCCCATTCATTTTCTTCTTTCAAAAGGCCTTTCATGTAGATCTTCCAGGAGTTCTTAATACAACTACTATCAATCACCATTTTTCCTTCCATATTTTTCAAACATTTAACACCTCACATCCTGCCTCTTTTTTGACATCTGCTTTGCCATTCGAACCATATACCCATTCCATCAGCGCATTCCATTTCTTTACAAACTCCTGTCTTTTCTTTTGCGCCTTCGCTATTAACTTCTTAGCATTTATTTTAGCCATCTTGTAAATATAGTTATCACTATTATCTTTGCTGTTATATCATTCTTTGAAGCACCTCCGTTTCTCATCCATAGCTTTCGCTACCTCCGGGTTCCACCACCAAGTCTCCTTAGGTCTAGGCGGCCTTTTGTCCATCCACACACCTCCTCAGTTGTCATGACCCAAGGTTTCTTGGTATTTATCCTAGATGCTTGTGCCACTCCGTTTCCCTAATAGCCAATTTCATATTGAATTGACGTCTAGCACTCTTCTCCTTCAATTTCCAAACCTTCAGCCTTGGTACAAACTTTCTTTTAGTGACCCTGGCACCTTTAAGAATGAGGTCTCCTAGAACTAGTTGATGCTGATTTATAAATTCCTCTCCCGGTATCACTTTCACATTTTTACTATACATCTATCACATCTATCACATCTCCTAAATAATCAACTGCACATTTGGTACTACCCGACTTATAAGTAACCAGCTTCTCAGATTCTTTCTTAAACATATTACAGATAATCATATCCATAGCATCACTAAAATCTAAAATCCTTTTTCCTTCCAAATTTCTCATGATGTAACTTAACCCTCCATGTACTTCTTCAAAACCCTCACTACTCGCTCCCACATGTCCATTCAGATCACCAGCCAGGATAATCCCCTCTTCATTTGCCAGTCTCGATGTCACCCCCAATAGACTGTCCCAAAATATATCTTTCTCTTCTTCACTTCTTCCAACCTGAGGAACATATGACGAGATTATATTATATAGCCTTCTACCAAAAATAATCCTTATAACCATTATCTGGTTATCTAGCCTTTTCACTTCTACTACTTTGTCCATAAATTTTTCCACAACCAATACCCCAACTTCAGCCTTACCGTCAATACTTCCTTGCCAAAAGAATTTATAGTTTTCATTGGTCTTGCCAATCATTCGGGTCCCATTTCCTTTCCATCTAGTCTCCTGTATGCAGCACACATCTATATGTCTTTATGCAATACATCGACCACTTCTCCCGCTCTTCCCGTCATACCTCCAACATTCCATGTCGCGACCTTAACTCGATCCCACGTAAACTGGTTTCTCCACTTATTATCAGGTCGTTTATAACCGTTTCATTTTCATGAATAGTGATTCCACCAGGTTTCCCATCCTTCTTTTTGTCATAGGCGGTTGAGGAGGGCCACGGGGTACTTTGGGTTCTACCCCACCCATGCTTTGTTGTGACCATAGGGAAATTTTTAGCAAGGTTTTTACAATCGGATGCCCTTCCTCCTGACATCAACCTCTTTAAGCGGTTTAGTAGACGGTGATCTTATTCTAGACGCAGATCACAGGGAACCTTTTAGACCTCCATTAGCCGCCAAACTTTACCACTCCCCCGCCACGAGGAGGCTGAAGGTAAGGCAAATCAAACCATTATACATGGTGACCTTAATATAAACCTCTTCTAATTAAGGGGGGGGGGATTCATAGATAAAATAAAAATGATTGGCGCTGGCCTCTAAGAAGATGACGAGGTATAAGTTAATTTGTCCGACATTTTATATTCAGTCAATATAAACGATTTTTTTAATATTCCTAGGATGGCTTGAGATTATCTATTTATGCCAGGCATATTGGTGTCGTGTCAAAGAGTTTTCTTAAAAGAAGGAAGAACTGACAAGTTTAATAGAATGTCTACAGAAATTTTTTTTGAAGAATTAACCCTAATCCGGGTGAATTATAATTGAATGAGAAATTAAAAATTAATTTTTATTCCCATTTCCTGAAATTTGTCCAAGAGTTACATCCGGTCATAAAATTGGCGTAATAAGCTTCCGTTTTTTTTCACATTTCTGTTAGAAATATATCCGTCCTAAGAAATCTATCATAAAAAATGTTCGTCTTTTAAGACTCGGTCTCGCGTCCATTCCACTATCTCATCCCCCCTCCCTCACACACAAAAAACGCGGGACAGAAGGACAGTTCTCATTCACTATAAATAAGAAACGAGGCATTAAGGGAAATAAACTCAATGGCCGATCCAATTCGTGCTAATTTGAAGGAAAATAGCTGAAGATGATATCCCAAAAATTGATGGAAGTGATTGTCAAAGAATTACTGAGCCCTACATATACACGGGAAGGATATAATTGGTCAAAATATTTCTTACTTCCTACATCCATAGGAAATCCTTCATATCCTCTCCATGTAAAAAAAACTAGCGTAGCCAAAATATAACAATCGATTGTTTCCTCGGTCAAGATCACTGGTCAAACAAATCTGGCCAGTTTTTTAAGACCGGTTTTTTAGTTCGGGTTTCTTTAAATCAGTTACCGGTTTATTCTGGAATCGAAAAATTATTTGTATTTTATAATTATGAAATTTAATATATTATTTAATTATTTTTTTTTTCAAAGCAGATTTTAAACAATTTATCAAGCAAATCATGTTTATTTGGACAAGAGTTTTTTTTTTCATTGTTTAGAAATAAATTTTTTTTTTTGAGGATTAGGTAATGAGGCTTGAATCCGTGTAGGCATAAACTGTATGTGCCACAAGGTAAACCGTAAAATGTATTATTTTTAATTTTATCATATTATTACGAGTTATGAGGTTAAAAAAAAATTGAACCAATGGGTAATACCCAATAGGGGATCACATGTTTTTTGGTGAAGAAGAATAGAAGCTTCTTTAAGTGCGATATTTTTATATGGATTTCAAGCGTAGTTTGTATATGTAGATTAATACGTAAATACGCGTTATATTATATTATACAGTTTTTTTAATTATTATTGTAATGAATATGAATATGAGTATTATTAAATAAAGATCATCTTAATTAGATATCATTAAAATAAAGTGGATCTTTACACAATTAATAGTTATGAAAATGCACACAAATTTTTTTTTAAAAAAAATATATTTCTATATTATTCGATCCGCAAGGTGGCGTTTATTTTTTTGAATTAAACAAAATAACAGTAATATCTATGTTAGCGTTAATATCTTCTTCTTTTTTCCGGCACTTTTTTTTGAGCGCGCTTTTTTGAAATTTAAAAACCGGAAATATATTTTAGCAAGATTGGAATGCCTTTTTGTTGAAAGCCTTTGAAAAAAAAAATTATATGGAAAATCTAAAAAAATTAAATTTAAATTTAAAAGTTCGTGGAAAAAAAAATTGACTGAAATTTCATAAGAGGGTCAGGTATTACAAAAATGGCGGCATACATTTAAATTGAGAGGAACATAGGTGAATTTAAATATATATATATATATATATATAAGATACTAAATTGAATTATGAAGGGTATAATTGAAAAGTGAAATATATTCCACAAATCGCACATATATATATATCTATCCCAATGACATATATTAATACCTAGACTGACGATTCATTCATTCATTTAAAATGCCTTTCTAAGCGTCGTTGATATGCAAATCAGCTGGAATCGCCATTTTGGTAACCCATATGATAATTATTCTCATGTTAAAAACTACAATTTAAATTGATAGCTTGCTTCCTTGTTATCTCGATGATCCGGTAATTCTTTAATAATCTCATTTAAAAAATTTAATAATGATTAGTTTAACCAAGATGGCGTCTCCAGCTGATTTGCATTGAAGTTACACTTTTAAATGAACGAATCGTCAGTCTAGTATATATGTCATTAGATAAAAGTTGATTTTATAATAATTTTAAATATAATTTGTTAAAAATATATAAATCTGACAAAACAATTATTTTAAAATGATAATTTTGCCAATTTGAAGGATAGAAATATTAATTTGAAGTTATATTTTTATACATTTAAAAAAAATTATTTTAAATATAATTATTATATTATAAAATATTTAACTATATATATGAAGGGATTAGATGAAATATAATTAATTAATTTGTATTATTTTAATCATTAAATAGATGAAGTAAAATTTAATTTTTTTTTATTACTTGTTTATATCATAAGAAAATGAATTACATCACATCATTATCTCATACCAGAGTTATTTGTAGAAACTAAGCCCAGAAACTCATTCTGAAAATTAAATAACAAGTATATTAAACGAGATATATTTTAGGGTGTGGAAATAAAAAAATCTTAATTATTTCTATTAAACATGGATTTAAAATTCATCGGTTTTGAAAAATCATTTAAACTTATATCATCAGAAGCTTAATAAAGTAAAAATTATTATGTGGTCTTTAATGGTTTTTAAAAGCTTGTCCATCCCTAGAAATCAGAAAATTCATAGTTTATTCAAATTAATTAGGAAAACATATTTCGGCACTATCCAAACTAAACTAGAAAATATTTAAAATGAACCAATGATGTTAAAGGGTATTTAAATAGTTTTAATGGTAGGTGGTATATGCTAAGCGATTATTAGCAAGATTTATCATTTATTATAGCAATAACCAACATTTTCTTATCAGATTTGTTTAAATAAAATTATAAATTTCAACAATAACAAATAAAATAAGGAAATACATATATTTTTTATTAAAATACTTTTCAAACTTTTTGACTGTAAATTCGAAAGAGCTTTAAGCCAAGGAGGAATATTCAATACAAGTGTTATAACCTAAATAGTTGATTGAAGATTTAGAATTATTTTGGCCTTAGCACCCGCAAAAATTCTATTTATGATCCTCAACTAGCCGGAATTCTAGGGAAATTGTTTAATGTATAAAGCGAATTTTACTAGACGTTTTTTGATTTGATTTTGGTGTTTAAAATTATTACCAGGTGTGCCACCCATTCTTCGACACAATTTTATGTTCGATGATTTTGAAATTTTTTTTACGCGCGAAAATTAAAAAAAAATATATTCTTACTAAAAGAAATTGTCATTCTTTCGGTAAAATTTTAATGGAAAAATTTCTTAATTTTCAACACTCTCTTACAACAAATTAAATTAACCGTTTTTAAATTTTAACTGAAAATTGAACTCCGGTTTTTAAATTTGAACTGAAGAACTCCGGTTTTTAAATTTGAACTGAAGAACTCCGGTTTTTAAATTTGAACTGAAAATTGAACTCATTTTATCATAGCCTTTTTCTTCATCTATTACATTTATAAGATAATAATTAATTTAATGTCAGTTAGGGTTTATTTAGTGTTTAAATGTCTTCATTGCTTATTTAATAGAATCCGATACCCAGAAACCTGTTGGAAATGAAAGGAATATTTGTTTAGACGAGATACCGAATTATTCATATGTTAATTTTTTAAAAAAAAGATGGTAAGGACGGCTTTGACACCCTTCCACTGTCTTAGACCTAGAGGACCACAAAATTCAAACCTGGCGAGACGAATTTTTGAAGGAACATAGTCGGCCTTTTTTGGGGGTGGATCCCGGGGTCGATCTTCTTCTGGCAGCGAGACTTCTAGTCAAGAATAAGGTGCATCAGCTCCCTGTCCTTGATCCAGTGACTGGTAATGCCCTCTACATTTTGACCCACAAGAGGATTTTGATATTTTTGTGTCTCTATATCGACGATTTACTTCTTAGACCACGATATATGGATTGGATCTTGGAGGAGAGCTCAACATTGGTTATTCGCGCTGATTTTAATTGATTTATATTAAAATGCGTTTTTTAAATAACGTTCATTTAGCCGCAGGAAAATTCCCAAGTCGCTATTTCAACCTTTTCTCTTTTTAAAACTTGTTGTATCTTTTACATTTTATATATGTTTATCCATCCATCTCAAAATAATTTTTCGTAAAAGGCTCCTTACACAGATATCCAGACAGTATTAGATTACCCCGGTCCAAGTAGCACTCTTTCTATTTTATAACCCGCGTCGTGTTTCAGCTTTACCGGTTCTTTCTAGGGACGGGAACGAACGTGTTGTTGTCGATGTTTATGCTAAATTTGACGTTATCAACTTGGCGGCTGAACGCAGTTTACCGAAAATTAGATATCACTGTTAAAGAAGCCCTATCCTACCGCGCTCACGTTATAGAGGGCGTCCATAGCTGTCAGAGATGGGAGAAGCTCTGACCGGTAGTTGATAGGTTAATTTTTTTAATCATTATACAAACTCATAGAGTTTAAAAAGTTTAATATCTTTAGTCTTGCTCAGGTGCGTACGCGGGAATTTGGTCTGGGGGGGGGGGAGGATAATAATTTTTTTTAGAAATATTATTGTTTTTTGAAAAATATCAAGCATAAATTTATTATAACTAATAACTATTTCTAATACACAATTTTAAATTAATGTGAAATATAAAAAAAAAAAAAATTATATGTAAAGAAATCACTTAAATGACCCAAAATAGATATTTGAATTTTTTGAGCCTTTAAAATTATATATATAAAAAAATAAAGGTTGGAAAATATAAAATAATACACAAAAAGTTTATATGGAATAATTGTATTTTGTATGTTATATATTTACAATGTAAAATCCAATCTTCGTTGGGATTGAGCTAATTTTTCAATTATCTCATCCTTGCTTGTCGTCGAATGCCTATGAATATTCAGATCCAAACCTTTCAATCTACTTTCACAAGTTGTACTTCTTGGTATGTTTTTCAGAGACCTACAGGTCCCCAGACCGGGCCCAAAATTTTTAAAAAAAATACCCGAACCGGGCCGTAAAAATTTTTTTAAAAAAATATCCGAGCCGGGTTGTAAATTTTTTTTAAAAAACCGGAACCGGGCCGTAAAAAATTTTTTAAAAAAATCCGGGCCGTTCCCTGCAAATGGTACCTCTGCAGGGCTCGGTTATTCTTCTTAAAAAGAGAGAATGTTCTCTCATTAGTTTACTAATGGGAAGAGTCGCTAATATATAAACCCTTTTAATACTTGGGAATATAATCTAAAATGTGTTTTGAAATGCAAAGCATCCATATCATTTTCTAGGACTATATCAACCCATAGTCGATTATATAAACATAGTTATTCAGCTAATAAGGGATCATGATATACTTTAACGTCTTCATGATAAAAATCTAACAAATATTTTTTTTTCTATCACCATCTGAAAAAGGTTGGTAAGTCTTTTGTAGCAGTAATATCTGCAGATTGGTAAGTGCTGCATGATGAATTTAAACCCATTCATTTATTTGAGTTATAAATATGTCTAAGAGACAGATATTTGTTTTTTAATACTCTTCTACTGATCCTATATTAATGTTTTAACGCTGAGCTTGCCTTGCTGCAAGTCGAGGGAGACAAATACTAAACACGTATAGCTCTGCTTTTGACTGAACAATAACATAAAATATGAAATTCTTCATCAACATTAGCCCTAATTTCCTTGAGTTCTAATAAAATGACTCTCCGCTTTTCTCATCTTATTAATCAAGTCAATGTCATGCTTTTGAAAAGTATTACATATAGTTGTATAATTAAATCATTCTAATAAGGAAAAAAATTTGGAACTAGCATTGAATCTAAATTTTCTTGCTTCTGAGGAAATATTTTTTTCAGGCCATTGTGATATTTCAGTAATAGCAAATAATCGGCTCTTCTAACTGCATAAAAGCTGTTACTGATTGATGGTGCAGACTCTATCTCTTTGGACAAGCTTGCAATTTCTAGCTCCCTGTTGGACCAGGAGTTTCAGAAATAATTATTATTTCCCTAAAAAATTTGAAAATGGTAGATAAATATTACGCCACTAAAAAAAATTGTAAATAATAAGTAAATATTAGGCTGGAAAACTTGAAATCGAAATTAATTGACAAAATAACTTAGCAGATGAACGTGCTAAATAAATGTAAATTAAATATTTAATATGAGATAGGAATATATATTAACAAATATAAATTAATATAAACAATAATATTTTTGAAAAATATAATCCGCCACCTGCATTTTTTGGCTTTGGGGGGGGGGGGGGTGTATTTCTTCCCCTGCCCCCCCCCCCCCAACTGCGTACTCCTGGCCTTGTTATTTCATTTTTAAAGTATGCCTTGAGTCATATTTTATACATAAAAATATTGTTTTATCTCTTTTGTTTATATTTTTTGAATGTCCTGGTGATTTATGACATAACGAACCATTTATGCTTTTTTTCAATCATTCTTCTATTCTCCTCCTTCCTTTATCTTCATTTATTTATTTTTCTTTCTTTCTTTTTTTTGAAAAAAAAATAATAATTATCTATCGGTTTGCAAAAATAAATATAAGTTTTATTTTTATTTATTTTTTTAATCAATGCGTTCCTACCAGAGCAAATATTTTTTTTAGATTATACGTTCAAAAGACTTAAAAAATGACTTTGTATCAAATAAATACCATTAATATTTATATTTTTTCTGGTTTTGATGTTTGTGAAAGGATATTATACTACTATCGAATTTATTCTGGGTAGTATTATTATACAGTCATCGAGAATAATCTACTAAATTAAAATAACATTATTCATGCATTTAAAAATATTGTCGAAGATGTGGTTACGATTTTTAAGATCGGCCGAAGGCCGGACAAAAGGGCCGAAAGATTATATATGTATGGACCCCCTCTAAGGAAAATTCCTAGCTACGCCACTGGTTCCTATATAACAAAAAATTTGCGGAATTTTAAAAGCCGGTGTTCATAGACTCGCGGTAATCGACGATAATTGGGAAGCGCGGACATCGTTATCCGTATCCGACATGCCGTCTTTCCTTACAAAACCCGCACCGCGATACAATGAAATTAACTCCGAATGAGATTCGAATGTTTGTCGGACAATTAATCGGACGGACTGGCAAAGATTTGAATTTATCGTTGATCGAATTTTGTTTGTGAACAAAAATTTTTTTTTGGCTTAAAGTTACACGCCTTGAGAACTCATAAAATCACTTAAAAATTATGTAATACATTATTGGGAACGTAATTTAAAAAAATGGAAGGCACTTACCTTTTAATCATATAAATTGGACATTGTTATTGTTATGGAGATTTAGTTTTTATCCCATATCCTCATATTAAGATATATCTCCCACCCTTTAGGGTTAGGGGTACTCTTAGTTCTTCTGAGAGTAGAGACAGCTGTTTTAGTAAATTTTGATGCACCTTCCTCCTTGTTTACCTCGGTTATCGTAATAACTTATACAGGTGGTATACTAATTTTATTCCTATATTCGTGTGCTCTGTCTCCAACCCCAATAACCAAGGTAAACAAGGAGGAAGGTGCATCAAAATAATATAGGAATATAACTTATGGGGGTGTATCATTCCTTGACCTTACTTATTATTAAAAATGGCCCAAATAAATTTTTTTTTATCAAACAAATTTAAACCAAAAAATATTAATCATATAAAATCTTATAAATATTAAATTTATATTGCTATATAAACGTTCTTAAAATATTATTAAAACATATGTCGTAATATATTTTTAAAGTACACTTGTTCAAAAATGATTGTAAAATATTTATTTCTATATATGTATGTATATTCAATATCCCATTATACCGTATTATAAATAAAATTGTGATTCATTGAAAAGTTAAAAGAATCTTATTTCAAATAGAAATTTTCAATTACCTTTTCTGCTTAACTCATACAAGTATAGTAAAAATAACCACTATACTTTTTTAAGTTACTTATCTAGATAGGTCTCATTCGCCATCCTACATGCCATAAAAATTTTCTTTATTTCTTTATATATAGAGAGAGAACACATTACTTTCAAATAGATTATTAAAATATTTTGAATTAACAAATTATTAAATTTCTTTAAATTTACCCTTTTGTTTATCTCCCAAAATTAGATAGTTTGTAATATAAGTTTTTTCAAAAATTAATATACAAACTTAAAATTTGGGGGTTTTGTCCTTAGAAAACCATAATTATAATTAGCAATTTAAATTAAATGCTATTGAAACTGAAGCCTCGATTTTTTTTTATCATCAAAAACACCTTTTTTTTAAAAAAAAATTATAAACATTTACACATATTAATATGAATTTTTTTATTATCTTCAAACTTTTCGTTAAATTTTATGCCATTTATTCACAATTTTCATAAATATATATTACAATTAAGGGGGAAACTTATTGATATTGAACTGTTAAATTTCATGTATTTTTATGAATTTTTTTTTAATATAAAAATTGTTTAAACTATTATGAAATTGTTAATTTATATTACAGTATGTGACCATGCGGATTAGCCACATAGGGGCAAATGACCGAACCCACACGCCAATGTAAATTTTGACTTTAACGAAGGGATCAAACTGTCAACTCATTTGTTAAGGTAGGAATAGATGGTTTTAGTAATATATATATATATATTTTTTTAAATATGGGAAGAGGGGAAAAAAGGGGTTTTAAATTTTTTGTATATTAAAATTTAAAGTTATTTCTAACGGACACGTATTATCTTAAGCCCAGACCAGACCACCTTGGGGTCAATTTAATTTACTTTACGCTACGTATGTGAATGGAAAAGGAAACGACTGGAAAGAAAAAACAACATTTTGTTTGTGTTAAATAAAATAATTCCTCTCAGGGTTGGGACTTTAGGCACAAGACATGAATTCCGATTCAAGACGTTATTAAAAGATTCGTTATAGGTTCTTGTTAAATAAGGTGTAGAGCGGTGTCGAACTACATAGCTTTAGTCAGCTATAAAACAACATAACCTTGTTTTTTAACCAAATCTATTCCAATCATTCTTCAATTTGAGACTCAACTCAGAGACTTGATTCAATTTTTTTAGGGCTAAAATCTGGAGTAAGCCATAATCGTTAACAACACTAATAAGGTGTTCCTATAAAAAAAAAATAAGAATCGAATTATTCATATTTTTCTTCAATTTATTAATTGTTATAAAAACGGATTATTTTGTAAAAAAAAAAAATTATTTTTTTCTAAAAAAAAAAAAATATTGAATAAATAAGATAGGATAAATATATTTAAAAAAATTAAAGTTTCAAAGTTATTGTTGAATTTTGAACCGACCGGTTCCATCCGTCGGAGTGGGGAAAACCCGGTCCGAGATCGGAGGTCCGGGATGGTCGATAATGGGATCCGGGGGACCGGGTTTGGGTATCGATTTTG